AAAATTCTGAAAAATGTGTTCTTTACCCTTCCACAGTTATTTTCTCTTTTGGGATAAGTATATTCTATCAGTAAGAGAGGTCAGAATTTGTGAATTCGGTTAAAAATTAAAGTAAGAATTCAATCTGGGATTGTTCCTGGGGACCTTGGTTGCAGGCTTCTGGACTGGCCAAAGGAAATCTTTCTCAGTTTTAGGGTAGAGGGAGAAATGAAGAAGAAAAACACATAAATGTATTTATTACCACCAAACTGTATACTTAAAAATGGCAAAGATGATAAATTTATATGTACATTTTACCTCAATAGACTAATACAGGCAGTTCCAGCTTATGAACAAAATAGGTTCTATAGGTTTGTTCTGAAATTGAATTTGTCTGTAAGTTGGAACAGGTACCTGTAATAGCCGCATTTTATAAGTGTAAGTCGTACATCAGTTAGATGTTTATAACTTGGGGACTTACTATACCAGCCCCCATTTGCAAGTGTGAGTTGTATATAAGTTGGATGTTTATAACTCAGGAACTGCATTAAAAAAATAAAAACCAACTCTAAAGTAGCACTGCCCTATTTCCTTGATTCTGAAAAGCAGCTCTTCCCACCCTAAGAATTCTGAACATGGGATGAAACATGTGAATGAAACTTTAAAAACAAACTGTTAAAAACTTTGCCTGTTTCCAAATAAAGGGATCCGTTGTGTTATTGTTTCTATTAGGGGGAAATGAATTTTCTGTTGGATAATTAATTCTTGTTTCAAATGTCTTCCAAAAGGATGTACCAGGATAGAACATGGAGAAGAAAAGTTACCACATGCGCAGAAGACAGACCATTGCTCCCCAGCAATGCTATTGCCAAAAAGAATAGAGTGAAACGTGGAACTTCAAAACCAGCAGAGCCAGCAGTGGCCAATTCATAAACCAAACACGAGCGTGATTTAGATACTGAACATCTCTCTCTGTTAAAATTTCTGGTTGGCTTTCAAGAGATGAGCTTTGACTTTCTAGGTATATAAAATTCATTTAGAAACAGTAAAAGTATACCTTCAACCAAGTAAGAAATGCAGATGGCCTCAAAATTTCACTATTAATCTAGAAATAAAGATTGTGAGTACATGTCATGAAAAGCAGCATGGTACCATCAACTACTATTCATGACTGTGAAAGAGCAGTCTAAGTTCCAAATGTGAAGACAGCTCCGTGGGTACATCAGACAGAAGAGAAGAGCAAAGAAGTAAGTCAACAAATGTACAATACTGTAAAAAAAAATACAAATAATTTTATGTAAATTTATTCCAGTCTCCACACCCCTTCTCTACCAGAACAATGATGGCAAAGCTTTTCTGTAGCAAGGCCTTGACCATCAAAGTACCATAGTCTGATTTCTAACAGACACAGGTCTTTACCAATAAAACTGTCTCATTTGCCATCCAATGGAAGAATCCTTGGCATGTCTTCAAACAAAGCTAAGGAAATGGAGATGTGAGGACATGCCATCAGGAGATTGCTTACCTCTTCCCAGCAGGACTATCTCATATCATCAGAGTGATTTTTAAGAAGTAGAGCAGATACCAGTTTAGGCATCATTTGGCCTTGGCAAAATTAACATGTGCCACACTTCATTCTCTCAAAGGTAACATGCCTCCTTGTCTACCTGATGGAGGCCACGGTAAAGCACTAATTCAAGAATATATGAGAGTGGCCAAGCATGGTTACTCACACCTGTAATCCTACCACGCTGGGAGGCGGAGGCGGGAGGGTCACTGGAGCTCTGGAGTTGGAGACCAGCCTGAACAAGAATGAGATCCCATATCTACTAAAAATAGAAAAACTAATGGGGTGTGATGATGGGTGCCTGTAGTCCCAGCTACTTGAGAAGTTGAGGCAGAAGGATCGCTTGAACCTAGGAGTTTAGGTTACTCTGAGCTGGGCTGAAACCACAGCACTCTACTCTAGCTTAGGGCAAGAAAGTGCGACTATCTTAAAAAAAAGAGGTCTTTTCCAAACTATGATTACTAAATACATGGAGATTTTTATCAGCCTTATCGTAAGAACACTGATTTATAACACCAGATGTTAATATCAAATTCATCTTAAAACAGAAACACCAGGCTCAGTGCCCATAGCTCAGTGATTAGGGCTCCAGCCACATTCACTGGGGCTAGCAGGTTCCAACCTAGCCAGAGCCTGCGAAACAACAATGACAACCACAACCAAAAAATAGCTGGGTGTTGTGGCAGGTGCCTGTAGTCCCAGCTACTTGGGAGGCTGAGGCAAGAGAATCGCTGAAGTTTAAGGTTGCTGTGAGCTGTGATGCCACGCACTCTACTAAGGGCAACATAGTAAGACTCTGTCTCAAAACAAAACAAAACAAAAAACAACCAGAAACACCACATGATACTATAGAGTAAATTTTGAACGTTTATAATAAAGTGCAAAGGACACCCTTGCTACTCAGACTTGGTGCAGACAGACTGCTGGGTTGCTCATGCCACTAACAGTTGTGTCAGACTTTTTCATGGCTTAGATTGCATCTGAGGGCTTATTCTCAAGTTTGGAGTAAAGTAGCAAGTGTTTCCTCATACCCACTTTTTTTTTTTTTTAAACTTACCTGGTGCAACAATTTCCCTAATCAGCCAAAGGAAGATGTGTCTGCAGAACTTGCAGCCAAGGCCCATCTTCCAAGAATCTTCCCTGACCCTCCCTGGGTCAGGCTTCCCAACTGCCTTTTATATCAGAAAGCCCCACACACCCCCAGCTGAGCATATGAATCAGCACTTAAAAATCTGACTTTTTTTTCCAAAGAGGCCAACTATTTTGCAATACAAACACTTGTTAAATTACATTAATCCATCAAATACTACAATTTTCACTTAAACACAGATTAGACAAATATGTTTCTTCACAAGCCTGGAGAATTGTTTTTGGCCAAGACACCCCAAGACAGTACAGATGGGGAGATCAGACCTTCCCTCCTCCCCCAGAAGGGGTCTTGCAGCTAAATCTAGAAGGCTTTGGAAGAACATTCAGAGGCAGCAGGAGGCCTGGGCTCCAGGCCCACAGATAAGAAAAGAAAACCTCCTCCTGGCCAACCTGGAACCCTTCAAAAGCACGAAACTCCCAATTCTACCAGATTTCCCCTTGCCTAAACACACGCAGTCAGTCGCCAAATGCTTCCATTCTCGAAGGCAAAGAAACTCAGCTCTCTGCTTTGACAGAGTCATCAAAGTTGAAAGTGGTGGGGATTCTGTTTTCCAGACTCACTGCTGGCCTCAAGGAAGTATGACACCACCAGCCCAAGCACAAGGCAGCTGTTCTTTTTTGGCTGGAGTTCAGTATAAACCTTATAAATGGTCTGCTAACTTTCTTTCTTTAAAAAAAAAATATATAATTTTTTAAAATTCCATAGTCACTCAACCCCAAGCTTGGTGTTTTTACTATAAAGTTTTTCCTACAGGACAGAGAAAATCATGTATTCCCAATAAATTTTAGAGCTAAAAAGGGACCAGTAGGTTATTCCCACTAGGGAAATATAACGGAATAAATAATTAGGCAGATTGAGAACCAATGGGGAAAGAGGTTCCTAAGAGTCGCTGAATAGCAATTCTCTCTGAAGTGTGAAATATGAAAATCTGGCAATGAATAATTTACTTTTCAAAACCGGCCCTCAATTGTAAAGCCATTGAAAACATTTTTATTAAGGAATGAATTCCAAATATCATAAAACTTCCCTTTCTTTCCAAAATTTAGTCTATTATAAAGATACCACAATGGCTATACTTTACTCACAATTTAACTGTCCCAGGTAAGAATTCACCTACAACCATCAGTGCATCACACCATAATGCGTCCCTAGAGCCTGGCCGCTAATCATTCCTTTTTCTCTGTTTCTCCCATTATAGATTTAAATATGCATTAAGTGCTGGATGCCAGGAGTGCTTTCAGAACGAAAATAACCCTCTGATAGGGCAAATCCATATTCCTTATGATTTCAGTGTGTATATTTGTGACAGATCAGTAAGTTCAGGAGAAACCACACACAGATCAGTAAGTTCAGGAGAAACCAAAGTCATTCCTAAACCTTCCGAAATTCTTGGGAGGTCAATAGACTTCCAAAACTAAAAGTGAGAATCTGGACTTGGTTTATAAAAGCAAAGCTGGCAAATCCCTTTAAGAGTCTGTCAGTGTGGAGTTCCCTCCAACCATATGTTCTCTTCCTTTAATTTCCATCTACCATATAATCTCCAGCCTATCATATCACCTGCTAAGTTTCTACCCTGAACACACTGAGAACTACGCAGCCATGCTCACCTACTAGGCATCATGTGGGTGATTCTGGTCAAACTACTAACCTGATCCCTAGATACCAAGCAAAATTCAAGGTCACTGGCCTCTTTGTACTGCAGAACCCTTCCATGGAAGTTTTCCTTTATTGCTAGGCAGCACGATCATACTTCATTGTAGCTCTTTTGTAAAACAGTCTGGATTCACTTGAGGAAATAAGAATCATATAGACATATGGGGGGAAAGTCTATTGTTTCCTTGTATCCAAACGATAAAAATAAAAAAATCACACATATACTCCCACTCAAAGACACATATGCACCCTTGTATTCACCTGAATTAGTGTCACGTGTTAGCATCATTGTATAATTTTAATGTGTGAAATTATTTTAGCCACCCTCCTCATTCATCATTCAAAGTGAGGATTAAACAGTAGTGGAGACATTTCATCCCCAATAAATTGTGCAGCTGTTTGATCCCAAAGGCGGCCACATAAATACCATTCACCATCTTATGTAGGAAAAGATAGCTATATGGAAAACCAGCTTAATAGCAAAAAAATCTCACCAGCTGGACTCTACCATTTAGAACACCCCTCTCGTCGTGTTCATGTGGGGCCCCTGAACTCCAAACCACCTTGCACAGACAGACTTGGGGTTATGTGATGACAGAGGGTGGGGAATGGGGGCCAGTCCCACCTTTGGGGCTTTCTGAGCCTTCATACCTGTGCTGATGCTCCTGTAAGACTTGGTAAATGCTGATAAGAAAAGTTTGGTTTTTAAAACTCCCCACAACACAGTCCTTGTAGATGCGGAATTCTGCAGCCGTCACCGCCTCACCCTCAGGAATCTGGGATAAGTTGAACTTGAACTCTTTGTGGTGTCGCTGGCGGGGGGAGAACTCCTTGTCGTACTCCACTATAAGAGTAAACAAGAGAGAGTGACAGCTATTGTTACTTGACTAAGTGCCACGGGCTCCCCTCATCAGTTTCCCCGTTCTGCTTCAGAAGTGGATTAGTGGTTACCAGCGGCTCATTATCAGGGCTGGGGGAGTGGACAGACATTGGCTAGGCTTTCAGGCTGAAATCTTTCACGTTACACAAGGACTAAATAAAATTCTTAGGTTTTGTTTAAATTAGTTGAACTAACTGGATGGCAGCAGCAAGTTATCTAAATTCTTGGCCTCAGGTTTTCGCAACTGTAAAAATGGGAAGAATATGACTTCACAGGTAAAGGTGTGAAAATTAATGAAATAAACAAGCGCCCGTGTGCCCATCCTGGCCCCATCATTCCCATCTGGCCCCCGTTCCTCCTGGCTGTGTTCCCTCCCCCAACTCAGGTCAGTTCACGTGTCACCATCACTAATGACATAATCAAAGAAGGCTCTGAGGTGAACTCTGGGGGGAGTGACACGAGGATGGGGAGGACAGTGGGCAGTGAATTTTGCCTGGACCTGACATTCAAAGGGTCCTCAAATTTTGTCTGCTCTGAGTTCAGTGGAAATTTTTGTTGAGGGGCTTAGGGTAAAACTTCATAGAAAATGGTGCGCTAGCTAAAGGCCACGCCTTCCTGCTACTGGTGGAACCTGCCGCCTGGGACCCCCCTCTGTCCTGGGAAGCTGCCAGGACCTCCATTTAATCTGCTTGTAGATCTCATGTAGAGAATGAAGAGGTGGAAGGAAGTCACTAACAGAGCCACCGACTGTTTTCTAATGATTTATAATGAAAAAAAAAAGGGGGGGAAAGGACTGAGTCTAAAAGGAGTTTTAATATGGAATCAACTAACTGTCCACCATGGATAAATGGATCAAGAACTGGTAGCATAGACATGTAGCAGATGGGTGTTTTGCCATTTGCAAAAACATGGATGAAACTGGAGGACATTATGTTAAGTGAAATAAGCCAGGCACAGAAAGACAAATAGCACAGGATCTAACTTATACGAGGAATCTGAAATGGTTAAACTCCTAGAAGCAGAAAATAGAATGGTGATGGCCAGGGGTAGGGGGTGGGGGTGGGGGTGGTGTTGAGGCAATGTTGCTCAAAGGGTCTGGAGGTTCAGCTATGCATAAAGAACGTATGCTGGAGACCTGATGTACAGCCTGGTGACGACAGTTAGTAATACTGTATTATATGCTTAAAATTTCTAAGAGAGTAGATCTTAAATGTTCTTACCACAAAAAACCAAAGGTATCTATGTGAGGTGATGGATACATTAATTAGCTTAAGAGTGAGTTCATTTCGCAATGTATAACAGAGTGCATTGTACTCCTCTGATACATACAATTTTAAATTGTCAATTATACCTCGATAAAGCTACGAAAAAGTTTTTAACAAAGCTTTTTCCTGCCTGAAGACAATTATGGGAGATTGCAATTACTGATCACCATTTTTCAGAGTTAGCTCTCAGACGTCTAGGAGAAGTCCTATATGAGAAGAATGATGTTAAACCTCAGGTGCTTAACTCATAATCATTATGCAAGAAAAAAAAAAAAAGAGCTCTTCAGTTGCCACCATAAATCCGTGATCTTTTCCCCAGAGTTAAGAAATGCTTCTGCCCTGCCATTCCTGTTAGTTTTTTCTTAACAGCAACCGCAGTGAAATTTCATGAGCAAATTAATCCTTATGGCAGACTTTTCCCAGTGCTTGTGGGCAGAAAAAAAAAAAAAAATCAAATTATTTGCCATCTCCAACTTCCCACTTTCTCCCACATGGGTTGTTTTTTATAATCCCCAGAGAAAAGCTTTGGAGATTTAGCTTCTTGAAAAAGAAAAGAAAAAGCTACTAACTCTCTAGAAGAACCTAAGTTCTCAATGGCATTTGCAGAATCTAAGGGAAGTTGAGCCATATGTAAGCACAGAGTTTTAAATTAAGAATTTTCATGTAATTAGGCAACAAATCTTTTAGATTCAATTATCTCTCTCTCTCTCTTTTCTTTTAATTTCATTTTAGGGGTTAAAAAAGTACACACTTTGGCTTCTGTAAGAGCTTGAATTTAAGCAAGAAGAGGTCCAACCAGAAAGTAAAGCAGGGTTGAATCCCAAAAAGAAAGCAGGTTTTCTAATTAGTGGCTAAGCATGAAAAGCAATAGTGATGGGGAGTTCACCCAAGGACACACACACACGATGGGGTATCACTTTTCTCTAAAACTGATCTGCCTTTTAAGTTTGATATGTTATCATTGCTGGTTAAAAAGTGAATCGAATCTGATTTTCCAAAGAGACTTTCTAAAAAATAGCTGCACGGCTTTTCTCTAGGGCCCTTTGGATGTTACGTTACAACACTGCCCCAGGAAAATATAACATTTTAAAGATTCACTTGAGAGCCTTTGTGAGAATTCTTCGAAGAGGGTTTGCAATACGCTCTCTCACTGTAAATAACAATGAGAAGAAAATAGGGATGTGAAATAAGATGCAAGACACTAACTTTGAGATATTTTAGTTATAAGGAGAAGAGAAAGGACAGAAATTTCAATAAGTGGAAACACGGTGGTCAATCTTTGGAGAGGTGCAGTGTGTCCCCCCAGCAGTAAACCAGACCTCCCTATATTTATGACCTAGGGTGATCCACCCCCCTGGGGTTGCTCTGGGCTAGCTCTGCGGCCTGTTTTAGAAAAACAGACTTTAGCAACAGTGGTGCTAAATGACTTCCCAGGCTAGGTCATAAGCTCTGAACTTTCTTCTACCTAAGTTTCTTAGGACATTTGTCTGGGGAAAGACAGCTGCCAGGTAGTAAGTCCGACCACCTTGAAACCGCCGTCGTGTGAGGAAGCCCAGGCTACCCACGTGAAAAAGCTACAAGGAGGGGTATAGGGGAAGGAAAGAGAGAGAGAGAGAGTATACAGTAGCCAGAGAGATAAAGATAGAGACAACTGTCCAGCCGATCTCCACCCACCTCAGCTGAGGCATCAGACAGGTTATGAAGATGTCACTTTGAATGTCCATCCCACTGGAGCCTTTGGATGACTCCAGCCTCAAGCACCATGTGCCTGCAACTGCATGAGAGATCTCCAGTAAGAACCACCTAGTTGAACCTGGTCATTTCGTAAGAGTGTGAGAGATGATAATGCATTACTGATTGTTTAAAACCACTCAGTTTTGAGTGATTTGTTATGTAGTAATAGACAACTAACACAGGAAGGGAAGAGAGGAAAGGAGAGGAATAGAGAGGGAGAAGAAGAGAAAAGGGAAGTTAGACCGTGCTGGGACAGGGAGAAATTGCATGCAATTTGTAAGGATAAAGATTGTGCAATGCTGAGAGGCAATATGTGTGACTCAGGAAGAATCTTGGCCGATGCTCACAGATTCAAAGATGTGAAGGGTTAAATAACCTTAAAATGAGACAATAAAAGCACAGTTCAAAGCATTGATTTTAGTGCAATGTAAGATGGAACCCACTGTCTTATATTTGCATTTTTTCATTTCTCCTCTAGCAAGGCAACCTTGTCTTGAAGTACTCTGAACTTTCTTAGAAGAGATTCATGGCCTTCTCAGTTCTATCTGTGAGTCTCTGATTGCTACCCCCATCCTTGCAAGCTTCATGTCCATCCCATTGCTCTATGGCTGATGCCAGACCACTTTCCTCACGCTCCCCAAGATGCCTCAGCCAAAGCTTGGCTTGTAGCTCCTTCCTTCTCCCTCACTCTCTTGCCTACAGTTGAATTTGTACAGTGCATTTGCTAATGTCTCACAGGGATACATATGTTAGGTTACTGCCTGCATGTACATTTGAAGACCACAGAGGTAAAATGGCAATGTTTTCAATGAGCTTATCAATTCAAGCCATATGATTCTGAATTTACTAATGTCAGACAGTTCAAAAAATATGAATGGGAAGAAAAGGGAGAGGGCTGAGTCCTTCGTTCAGTACTTACTTTGTACACCCCAGCATCTAGCTTATCGATGGTGGTGCTACACGTGGTAACATAATTAAGTTGCAGCTAAGAGTATTGAGGATGTATCTATCAATCTGCCACACTGTTTTTGAATTCTAGCTCCCTTCTTTCTTACCTATGTGATGCTAAGAAAGATATTAGTCAAAGTTTCAGGACCAGTCAAATGGGAATAGTAACATTTCTGAAGATTAGGTGGCATAATCTGTGCCAATGGCCTGGTATTGACTGTTTAGTAAATGTTGGTTATGATCATCATTGTCTGTTGTTTCAGAATCAGCTCCTATGAACTTAGAATATATCTTTGCTGAGTAATTCAAATTTATGAATCTACAGATACGGCTGATGAATTTTTCCTCTAAATTGGCTTTTTCAGTTAGAATGAGGCATTCTGTGGAAAGGGCAGTAACTGAAATCTTACTGAGGATCAGCCTCTCCTTACTGGGGAGCTATTCAATACCGTACAGTGTTCCCTGAGGCAATAATTCCTAGAATTTGTGCTTTTTTTTAATTTCAAGGATCAGTTAAAACCTTTTTTCTAAAATAGTAACGACCTTATACAAGGTCACCTATTTTTGCTGTATGTCATTTTCCAATAAAACAAAACAACCTGCGTTAGTTATGATTGCATTTCTTCAACTCTTTTTAACACCAAATAAAATAGGGAGGGAATAATTGAACAATCTAATATCATTCCTCAAATTGACAACATTAACTCCATGAAGCTTACTTTATTCTCTCTTTTGCCTTAGATGATACCAGTTGAAATTCAAGACAGTCCTAGGCCTTTGGCCAACACGTTGGAACAAAAGTCCTAAAGAATGGAAGTAACCAATTTAAATTTTAAAATGTAAAGTATGTAATATTACACAGACAGAAGGATCTATGTGATATATGGGGGTCATGAAGAAGAGGAAGAAAAGCATCAAGGAACCCAGCAGCCAGCTTACAAACACGACCAGGACTGTTCTGTCCCTTCCTGGTCCCTTCTTCCTGTTCTGCTCAACAGGTAGCGTGTATCATGAATA